TACTAACACACAATATACTATATACTATATATACTAACTTCTCAGTTAGAGCGGTTACATTTTGTAACTCTCTGCCACAAGCAGCGGTATCAGCAGAGAGTATTGAATCATTCAAAAAGCATTTAGATACCTCAGTGGCATCACAAGGGGGGTGCAGGGGGTGCGGCCCACACCCAGGTGACCCCATTGCAGGGGTGACACCAAAATGACTGACAGTCATTTTGGTGTCACCCCCTCTAAAAAGTCGGGCTCTCGGTCCACGGTGTCAGGAGAGAGGAGAAGACCCGGCGGCATACCTCATCCCGCTGGGTGAACGTCCCCTCCTTTCTCTGCCGGCGTCCATCACCAAGATGGCCGCCGGCAGGCGTCAATCAGATGGCCGCGCATGCACGATGACGTCTTCGCGCACCCTAACCTTAACCCTAAGCTGACACCCGGCCTCGGGATGCCCCTGAGATACCTTCCTCAGAGACCGTAACATACAGGGGGACAGGTACACTGAAAAACTAGACCACACAGGGATTCGTGTACACACACATGCACAATCACACACAGACACACAATACTTGATGGACCTGTGTCTTTATTCAACCTCAAATACTATGCGACTATGTAACAATAGAGAGGGGGCACACAGAACATACCAAGCCCAATAAATGACCAATAATAAACAAGCTTCAGCTGCAGCACATCACCCGCCGATAGAGAGAGCGGAAATGCATGTGTAGCACTGAATCCTAGAACAAGAGGCTGCAGACAGCCCGGAACATCCTCCTCTGGCCCCTCTGCTGGACCCGGGATGACGTTGTGTAGGGATCAATGAAATCAGAAATGGTTACTTTACCAAAAATTAAGACATTTGATGAAATGCTTTGGAGTTAATGAGATTTTTTAAAGGGTACAGTGAACTTTAAATTGCTCCTCAGGGTTACATAAGTTCCTTTCAACTATCCTGGACTTGTTGTTGTGCCATAAACCCTAATTCTAACTCTATCCGCAAACCGAATGATAACTCTAATTCCATGTTTATAAACAAAGTCATGTGACGTGCGCCATTTCTATCACTGCTTGGTGATCAGCTTTGTGTATGAATAAGGTCATGTGACGTGCGCCATTTCTATCACTGCTTGGTGATCAGCTTTGTTTATGAATAAGGTCATGTGACGTGCGGCATTTCTATCACTGCTTGGTGATCAGCTTTGTGTATGAATAAGGTCATGTGACGTGCGGCATTTCGTTCACTGTATGGTGATCAGCTTTGTTTATGAATAAGGTCATGTGACGTGCACCATTTCTATTACTGCTTGGTGATCAGCTTTGTGTATGAATAAGGTCATGTCTCACACGATGGGGTGTCACAGGGAGGAACAGGAGCGTTTTTCAGCTACTTTTGGCTGGCGGTGCCTCATGGGGAGTTAGAAGCTAATGCCAATAAAACTGGTAACTTCAAGTTTGGTGATACCCGCTGCTCATCCCTGAAGCCGAAGAAGCTGAAGTATGTGGAGTCTTGTTGTGGCCTCGGCAAACATGAAATCAGGAGATGGTTTTGAATCACGATTCCTATTTTTCCTTTTCAAGCAGTTCACCTAATGAGGTATACAGAACAAAAAAGAAAAGTATGTTTATTTTAGGTAAACAGCTCCAGCTCCGAGGAGTTCTCCAATGTGCAGATGAACAGCGAAGAATGAAATTGATGTGTCTCGGCTCTCTGTGATGTGTTGGCCTCAAAGAGCGGCTCAGCGGGTGGGGGGGAGCTGTGATCAGCCACTCTGAAAAGACACGTGAATTATTAACTTGCTGCTTCCCAGGCGAACGCCTCGTAACATCGTATCAAAAAAGGTGAAAAATCCCCTGAAACTTTCCTTTATCTGGTCACTTCAACTCCCAAGCAGGCAGAGAAGCCAGCCGGGTGGGTGATGGCTGACCGCAAAGTGAAGAAAATGTCCACTAAGAAAGTGGAGGACACCATGGCGCTGCGCTGGGCGAGGGTCGTCAACCGCGGAGCCGAGGCGCGGAACGCCCACCAAGTTCGGATCCTGCAGAGAGCGGAGACCATTCGATGTCAGGACTTACAGCGAGAAGCTCAGAGTCTCCGGAAACTCTTAGTGAAACTCAACACAACTTCCGGCTGCTTGGGCAAAGGTGGCTCCCAATAACTGTCGCTGTGACGTTTACGGAAGGATCGTGATCAAACGATGGACCTTTATGTCAACGCTGTGAGGATACTGACGTGATGCGTCGGATCGAAGTTCCCAGAAAAGGATTCAATTGCCCTAAAAACACTGTATCTCGAGGTCAAGCTAAAGTGGACCTGTCATGCATGATGGTGGCGTTGTGAAGGACAATGAAGCACTGTGTGAATATCAGTTTCCCATTCATGGTGCCGGGGAGAAGTAGTCAGCGTTGGAAATCAAAGACCCCCTCAAATGACTGCCCCTGTATACCCTCTCAGGACCATTTCAGCACCAAAGCCTATTCGTTCAGCATTGACTTTGTCTGCAATAATAATTTTATGATTGTTTCTTTGACAAACAAAGTCTCCTCTTTGCAATAATTGTATCACAAAAGATATTTTATTTTTTCAAGTGATCTATAGAAAAAAAGATGGAACAACTTCATTCCGTGGTTTGGCTCTTTTATAATGACACCGAGGGATCTATTTATAAATACTTTCACATGAGATTCATACAACTTTCACCTGATTCACACATTTTTCTGACTGGATTCAGCTGGAACAATGTGTCAGTCCTGCGTGAAAGCCGTAAATCTTTTGTGAAAACCTTTATAAAAAGAATATTTTGTTTCTGGTACAAAACACCACAAAGTTATTTACAAATAATATAAAAGCTTTTTAAACATAGTCTCTGTATTTTTCATTTGATGCAACATAATGACATAATGTAAACAAACAAGGCAAATGGAGAAACGTCTGACCTCTGCGCTCGCCAACAAGAGCTTCTCCACCAAGTGCTGACTCATGTTCTGCTTGGGGATCAAATACTTATTTCACTCCCTGAACTGCAACTCAATTTATAACATTTGTATCATGTGATTTATCTGGATTTTTGGTTGATATTCTGTCTCCGATGATAAAAATTATAGACCTTTCACAATCTGCAGGCGATCAAATCATTATTTTCCTCACTATATGTCCTCACTTACAATAAGGTCTTGTTCACACCAAGCGCGTTCCAGGAGCGGAGCAGTTACAGACCGGAGCAAAACTGCGTCCAATGTATTCCAATGGTATTTTTAGCTCCAGTTCACATTGCAGCGCTCCGTTCCAGAGCAGGTCCGGAGCAGGTAAAAAAACTGCAGCAGGCCCTATTTGACCTGCTCTGGAACGCTCTGGAACTCATGCAAACGCATTCAAACGCCCTGGAACGCACTGAAAGCCCATTTTGAACTAAAAAAAAAGTAATTTTTTTTTAACCAAAAACGGCCCGAAAACACATCAAAAACGCGGCACAACCCACTGTACTGCATGTGCAGAAACTCATGCAGATCTGCTCTGCATTTGGTGTGAACAAGGCCTAAAGGACTGATAGTCCTGCATTGTACATGATCACGCCACAGCTAGGATTGCTGGCCAAAGTGCCAAAGAGAAGAGGCTGTGGGGACCGCTCACATGGGAGGAGCCTGTAGGAGCGAGGGATAAATAAATTTGATTTTCATTGGTAACCCAGGCAAAAAATTAGCAATTAAACCCTACAGGAACCCCTCTGCAAGGGTATTTTTTTGATTCCCTGGAGTTCAGTTTTAAATGCAAACTTATTAAAAGTACAACTGACCGCACAATGCCAATTACTAAACAGGAACAGACAACTATTCAGCTGAAATGGCATTTGTGGCAACTCAAACCTTCCTGTGCTGCGCCTGACTCAGAGAGACTGCAGAACAATATCAGATTGTCATAAGGACTTCTAATTGTTAATATTACATTCATCATTTTATATAACATTGCGTATATATATATGTTTCTTTCTAAACTTAATTTCATAGTTTTTATGTAATTGATAAAAGTGATAAAACAAGATTTTAAAAGGGCTGAGCCATTAGCAGACGATGCGAGTGCGCACATTGCCATTAATGTTGCCGTTTCTATGGTTTTGAGACATGCACAAAAGAATTTTCAATGAAGGTCAACACTGCGAGCAAATAATAAATGAAGTAATTGATCGCCACTTGTTGTGTCTGTACAGTGCAATGATCACACAATCGCTGGGCTGGTGGGGATTTTAAGATAATATAGAGAGCAGAGAGGAGAAAGGAGAGAGAGTTTGGAGTTTATGTGATCGCTTTATTGTATAATTTAAGTTATTTAAAGATGCAATCCTTCAATTTACCTTAGATCCTTTCTTCAGGCTATAAAACCTAAAGACAAGATCTACGACAATGTTACTTTATATCTCCATCCAAACAATGATACAGAGACTGATGTGACTGTGGGGGTGAGGGGACATTAGAGTGTAAGCTCCTCTGTACAGAGACTGATGTGACTGTGGGGGTGAGGGGACATTAGAGTGTAAGCTCCTCTGTACAGAGACTGATGTGACTGGCTCAGTGTTCTCTGTACAGCGCTGCGGTATACGTCAGAGCTATATACATGTATAATAATAATACTTTTTATAACACACAATCTTAGAAGAGAAGTAACAGACGTATTTGGCGCTCTATTGATCGCAGTTTCCTTTATTGAAAGGTTGTCACGTCGTCGTTATATAATTCGTATAAATTTATTTCTTATAATAGCAAAACATTTCCCGGCTTTAAAAAAAAAACGTAGAAAAGACACATAAATATTTCTGGTGATTATTTTGTCTGATTCGGATCCGCAGATTGTAAAACAAGCCGGAAAATAAATTCCGATACAAAAACATTTATCCGGCAGCCGCTACAATGTATAAAATATGATCTCCTGCGGATGTTGGGGGGGGTGGTGGGGCGGATGGTGAGTGGCACTTGGAGCAGAACGATCGTTATTTCCCTCATCTCAGGATTCTGATACTTTGTATATATTATTGGATGGGATAGAAATCTCCTCGCACGTGTCACATGGTCCCCGGCTATACAAAACTCTCCTCCATGTTGGAGCACAGCAGGAAGGAATCCACCAGCCGGGGTTTCACCAGCTGTTGTAGGTCGGAATCTTCCATGCCGCCGGGATGTTCCAACGCCAACCTGCGCAGCGCCGCCTGAAATAGACAAATCGATACAATGTATACACAGCATGGCGGACATTTCCTCAGTCACTGGATATAAGTTTACAGATCTGTTACTAAACTCATTACAGAAGGTTTTGTGTTTAAATAATAATCCAAAAGTGACCCTGAGCCCCTGCAATGTGTCATGTGACCCCTTCCAGATCTCACAGAGATCACATGACTCCCCCCCGACAATGTCTTCATCTGCTCTTCTCTCCGGAAGGACGGCGCCACCTTTGGTCAGTCATCATCCAGGGTCACCCTCCACTTCCTGGACTGAGATGGCAGCTCGGAGATGACACAATCATGAAAATCCCGGTGCCGTTTGTGGCTGGCTGTGCAGTGAACTCCTTCCGCATACAGGAAATCTAATGCTGGCCGTACATGTAGCCTGCGCAGTTCTTGGCTGTGGTAATAAATGTCTGACACAGATCAGCCCCTGTGACTGATCACTCATCTTGTGGCTGGATACAAAGTTACAATGTTGGAGTCTGATCACTGGGGGGGAGGGGAGACTGAGGAAATGCTTCCTCCTGCCTGCAGCCGACTGATCACTGGGGGGGAGGGGAGACCGACGAGTGAGATTGTGTATTATCTTTACACAAAATATAAATCAGAAAAGATGCAAAAACCAAAAAACATACCAGACACGCGACAAGGACGGCGTCACTGCTGTACCGCTCCTCCGGGTGGCGGCAGAGAGCAACGAGGCGCGGGATACCTGCAGGAAGAGGCGACACCTGTTATTAGTAGATGACAACCCAATCACTGAAATCTCATTTAAGATTTAATATGTTACATTTTAAATGTAATTCTCAGTCTTTTTATATCTGCAACTTTCTTTAAAATGAAGGTCCTTGTTCAGACACTTCCTGTTATAGGGTGACAACGCTCTGTCCTTGTTCAGACACTTCCTGTTATAGGGTGACAACGCTCTGTCCTTGGTCAGACACTTCCTGTTATAGGGTGACAACGCTCTGTCCTTGGTCAGACACTTCCTGTTATAGGGTGACAATGCTCTGTCCTTGTTCAGACACTTCCTGTTATAGGGTGACAATGTTCTGTCCTTGTTCAGACACTTCCTGTTATAGGGTGACAATGCTCTGTCCTTGTTCAGACACTTCCTGTTATAGGGTGACAACGCTCTGTCCTTGTTCAGACACTTCCTGTTATAGGGTGACAACGCTCTGTCCTTGGTCAGACACTTCCTGTTATAGGGTGACAACGCTCTGTCCTTATTCAGACACTTCCTGTTATAGGGTGACAACGCTCTGTCCTTGTTCAGACACTTCCTATTATAGGGTGACAACGTTCTGTCCTCGTCTCTTGTTCTCGTGTTGTCACCATGAGTGCACATAAACAGGAAGTGACTACAAAGAGTCGGCAGGAGATCAGCAGCACTGAGATGGAGCAAAAAAAACAAGGATTTACATGACATTTACGAGTGAGAATTGTTTCTGATAAACTGAATGTCACCCAGTTCCGGTCACAGCATCATTGAGGGGTATATTTATAAAGCAGTGAATGTGAAATTCACCAAGAATTCACCGCAGACGCATATATATATACGTACAGTTACACTTTATGGCGGCTCGGGTGATGTCCGGACGGCGGCCCAGCCGGGCGAGGGTGACGGCCGACTTCTGGAGGACTCGCTCACAGGCGGCGACTTCGGCCAAACTCCCGCTGAGAGGCTTCTCCCACAACATCTGCACCAGAAGCTCCACCCCTGGGGGAGGGGACAGAGGCAAGATATCAGCACGGGAGGTATGATATGATGGGTGTCTCTGTATCCATTTATTAAACATAATCAGATCCTAACAGAGAAGCATTTACAAAC